CACCTCATCATCCCATATTTCCAACTCTCCCTGCAGGAGTATTTACAGACGCTTCTAATTTAAAACAGCTTTCTGACCGACATCCCCCTGCAGCAGAGCCCTTCAGCAACCTCGCAGGGTCTGCAGTTTTGTTTTATCCTAGGTTCACCATAAGGAAGACTTGGAACATGCCAGAAAAGCAGCAGAAGAGAGAATCCTCTCCTCTTGCCACCCCCAAGAACACGATTTAGCACGGAAGCCATTCATTGTCATGACGAAAGGAAAGAACCCAATGCCTGAAATTGTGGGGGGTCTCACAGGGTTTGATTTCCTTGCTACTTCGTGAAGATTCAGGTGCTTTCTCAGTGGCCTCTCCGGGCTGTGCTGTCCCTCCCATGGCTTTGACCTCCGCGCAGACTCTGAGACATTCCTCTTCTCCGAGCCTGTTTCCTCCTTACCCAAATAGAAACTTGTTGGGTGAAGATTAAAAAGAACGCACTGGTTAACGTATAAGAAAAAGATCTGAAAAATATCCAATGATGGGGGGGGTACAAAAAAACAAAAGTGCATATTGGATTTTTCTGGCTCAGCCAAAGCAGGGTGGGCGGGCAGGACCCCTGGCTCAGTGATCATAAACACAGCTGACGCGGGCTCCGCGTGACACGGGGGCCTGCACATAGGAGGACGGATTGTTGGCAAGGCTGGCTCGGGAGGGGTCCCCGTGGGGTGCTGGAGAAGATTCAGATTTCCAGGGGACCCTTTGTGACACAGCGACCGACTGCAATCCAGATTCCGGGAAAGCAGTGGGATCTCTGACAACTTGGTGAGTCTGTCAATATTTGCTGAGGGGTGGAGACTGTACAGTGAGAAGATGAAGAAGCAAACCGAGTCAGGAGATGTTGATGGCGAACACCACCTAATGTCTGTAGGGCCAAGAGAAACTCTTTTCTTCGTGAGTTCCTGCAGTGTGGACACTAGGAAGTGAATTCTTCCACCAGAACGTTCGTGTTTCCGAGCACCGGCGGCTACCTCCCTCCAGACAGGGCCCTGAGCTTGGGTGAATGGTCTGTAGTCCCCGTTTTGAAATTCTTGAATAATTTTGTCTTTGAACTTGTACTGGGGAAGCGAGAACAGCCAGACCCGCTCCCCGACGGTACTCCACGCCGGCCAGGATGGGCAGCAACTGGCACTGGGGAAGCAAAGTGGCCTGGATGTTCAGCGAGGCAATGCGGTGACTTCTTGTAAAACAAAACACGCCCTGACCAGAGGGCCCAGCGTTTGTGCTCCTTGGCGTTTGCCCAGAGGAGTTGAAAATGTATGTCCACGCGAACGCCTGCGCATCGATGTTTACAGCAGCTCTTTTCACAATGGCCAAAACTTGAGAATAATCGAGAGGTCCTTAGCAGATGAATACTATTACTATTATGTTATTCAGCATAAGAAGATACGAACTATCAAGCCGTGAAAGGCATGGAGGAAACTTAAACGTAGATTACTGAGAGACGTCAGTCTGAAAAGGCTACATCTTGTATGAACCCAATATACGACACTGAAACAGGAAAAAGGATGGGATGTTAAAAAAATTACTGGTTTCCCAGGGCTGGGGGAGAGGAGGATTGCATAGGCAGAGCACAGAGGACCTTTCGGGCAGTGGTGTTACTCTGTGGGGTACAAGAGCCGCCCCGTGTCATTATACATTTGCCCAATCCCATAGAATGGATAACCCCAGAAGGAACTCTAGCGTGAACTACGGACTTGGTGTGATTATGATGTGTCCGCGTAGGTTCATCAAGTTGTAAAAGATGTCCCACTCTGGTGGGGCTGCGATCACGGCAGAGGCTGTGCGCTGGAGGGATATGAGTTCTCTGAAAAAAGGGAAAGTCTTTTTTAAAAAGCTGATGGTCGGGGCACCTGGGTGGCTCGGTGGGTTAAAGCCTCTGCCTTCAGCCCCGGTCATGATCTCAGGGTCCTGAGATCAAGCCCAGCATCGGGCTCTCTGCTCAGCAGGGAGCCTGCTTCCTCCTCGCTCTCTGCCTGCCTCTCTGCCTACTTGTGATCTCTGTCTGCCAAATAAATAAATAAAATTTAAAAAAAGAAAAAAAGCTGACGGTCCCTGAGGCATATCTGTGAGCAGAGAAGTCATGCACGGTGCACACCCCCCAGTCCATCGTGTCCTGCTCACACATAGCATCCGTGACGCCCCACAGGCAAAGAACCCCAGAGGGACCCAGGGTGGGTGGGTGGGTGACCTACAGTGTGTTATACCTACAGCTGAGTGTGTAGGGACGCTCACAGCCCTGAGAAGTCATGCTTTCTTCAAATCGGAAATCGTTTCAAGTGCACAAAGAAGGCAACACATTCTTGAAAACATGAATAACCAAAGAACTCTGCCCTATCCTTTCTTCCTCACGTCACCTCCCTACAACAGCCAAGGGCTGAAAATGATGTCACGGAAAGGGAGAGCTGGGGTGGTCCGCAGCTTTTCCTTTTAACCCTTCCTTACTCACCAACGAACTGAAGGTGGAGAATGTTGGTCGAGTGTGTGAGTATCTAAAAGTAAAGTTAGCTCCACTATGTTTGTGTGACATTTACTCTAAGAATGAGATATAAACGCTTGCACAAGCTACGAATATGTCGTGGGATTCTCGGGATTCTGCCCGTGAACGCACTGCATTTAAACCCATGTTGCACAGTATTCAGATGAATGGTAAAATTCATGAATAATTTAACATTTTAATTCTTCCTTACTTAGAACAACTTTGAATAGCAAAGGAAATACCTAAGAAGCCAAGAGAGAGAGAATATGGAAAAAAGGAAAATGCTTTATATATATATTTTAGGATTTTATTTATCTGACAGAGAGAGGGAGAAAGAGCACAAGCAGGGGGAGCGGCAGGCAGAGGGAGAGGGAGAAGCAGACTCCCCGCTGAGCAAGGAGCCCGATTTGGGACTCGATCCCTGGACCCTGAGACCGTGACCTGAGCCAAAGGCAGATTCTCAACCCACTGAGCCACGCAGGTGCCCCTGAAAGTGCTTTATACTTTAGCACCTCAAATAGTACTTTCCCTGCTTCGAGAACAAGGGGCTCTGCATTTTCCTTTCTCACTGGCTCCTGTAAATCCCAGAGCCAGCCCTGCCCCCACTGCTATGAAGTTAACATCGACCAGGGGCTACAATATGCCAGACATGCTGTTAAGCGTCCCACACAGATAATGACCCTTAATGGCCTGGGTCGTTCCTACCCCCAAAGAGTAAGACGTTGTCCACACGGCAGTTACTGTCACAACGACTGCGCGTGAGCCGGTCCAAACGAGAAGGACTTGTCGAGCACCTGCTTTGTGGCCGGAAGGCGCCCATCTCATTTTGCCCAGCGCTAGGATCGGGGGTACAAAGATAAGCACAAAACAAACCCAAGGTTGCTCACAGAGGAGGGGGGCCAACAGAGACAGGGGGCAAAGTGGCTGCTTGCCATCACATAGCCCGACGTCGATCAGAGTCACGATCTGAACCCAGGCCCGGAGCCCAAGCTCATGAGCCCCTGGGGCAGACTGCCTCTGTGATGATGCTGGCCCTGTGTGCGTGCGTGGCAGATGCTTAATAATTGCATTTATTACATTCCAGATTTAAAGATCCAGCGCCGAGCTAGAACTGAGTTTACTGCCTTCGTTGTGGGGTGTCCGATTGTGAATTCACTATCCGTTTAAATAGTTTGCCTGTCCCTGAAATGTTGCTCTCTGAAAGGGGCTTTCTCTGGCTCTCCCTGGTTCTCTCTCTCTCTCTGCAGTCTTGGCTTTGTTTCATGATGAGGATCACACTCTGTAATTCTATGTTTGTTTGTAGAACTCTATGTTCAATTGCAGTGAGCCTAGAGTGGGGCGGGGACACGGTTCCTCCCCAGTTTAAGCCCAGGGCTATATATAGCCTGGTGCTCAGCAAGTAGTTGATCGAAATGGGCGCTTGGGTGAGCACATTAATGAATAAAGCCACAATAATTATTAGTTCGCATTTCTCCTGTGTGTTTTCCCAAGAACACTGAATAGTATTTGCCATGTTTCTCTTTTTGCATTGGCTGTTAGGAAGCTCAAAGCCACATCTGTGAAGCCATCACAGCAAGCCTGTAAATCCACCTGAATATTTATTTCTGATCCTGAATGCACACATCGATGTATTCACTCTTACTGTCCCTCTTCTTTTGTTATTTTTTTAAATTTCCAATGTCACTGCAATTTTTTTATTTTTTTTTATATTTTTTAAAGATTTTATTTATTTATCTGACAAAGAGAAAGATCACAAGTAGGCAGAGAGGCAGGCAGAGAGAGAGGGAGAAGCAGGCTCCCGGCTGAGCAGAGAGCCCGATGAGGGGCTCGATCCCAGGACCCTGAGATCATGACCTAGGCCGAAGGCAGTCGCTTAACCCACTGAGCCACCCAGGTGCCCCTCTTTTGCTATTTTTAACTGATGCTCCCATCCTGTATTACATATGCCCTTGTGAGACACTTTAATAAATACCCCTGCTGAAATTCAGTTAATTCAGCAGGCTATCTTGAATTTCTAGCCTGCGGAGAAAAAGAATGTCCTTTTCCATGCCATCCTCGGTCTTCAGAACAATAAGCCACCCTTAGATTACCTGCTTTCCCGTGTCCAAAGCCCGCTGGGAGGGATGTTTCTGTGCCTGGGGCCGGCGCGGTGGGTGAGATGCTCGTTCCTTCCAACGAGGTGGGCGTGGAGGTGGTGTTCTAGAAGAAATGAAGGTGAAAGGCAGACAGAACTGCAAAACCTTAGAGAACGTGTTTTCCCAGCTTGGGCCATGGCCCGTGGTTCCTGGGGAAGGGAATCAGCAACCCAGGTCAACCCGAGCAGGTGCAGGGGAGAGGGGGTGCCGGCCAGGATGCTTGGGGTGCCAGGCAGGCCTTCGTGCAGGAGAAATCAGGTGCTGGGTTCTGATTGGAGAGGTGAGAAAAGCTCCTGCAGCCAGGAAGAGAACCTGCTTCTGTGGGAGGATCCCTGGGGAGGAGGGCCTCCCCCAGACCAGTGTTTGCCCTGCTCTGTGTGTTCAGCCAGCAGGCTCCGGAGGAGGAAGCAAAGGGCAGGGAGCCGGGCTCAGCCGCCTGCCTGGCTCTGGGTTGCACCTGCTGGAGACAAGGCACCCCGAGCAGGAGCAGCTCCAGGGGACTCCAGGGGACTGCAGACACTCCCGCCAGGGGCTCGACAGGTAACAGCTTCCAGATTAGGCTTGTTTGTGGTTGGCAGCGAAATCTAGACGCCGGGCATCGAGGATTGAGTTCAACCCCGGCTCTGCCACTGATTGACTGTGTGGCCTTGGGTGTGTGTGAGCCTCAGTTTCGCCGTCTGCGAAATGAATCCAGAGATAGCCGTACCAAATGTGTTATAGAAAGATTGTGTGACCGTGTGGGTGGTGTCAGCTGTAAAGGAACAGAAAGAGCTCCGGTTTGCTTGGAACGAGGGAGAGCCATCTCAAGTGTAACCTGGGGTAAGAAATCAGCAGACAAAGAGGTATGCTATGGGATTTGGGGACCATTGTCAGGACAAGAGTCCCCTATAGGAAAGCTGACTTTGAGTCTCTGCCAAGGGGCATGGTCTAAGGATGTGGAGAAGAAGGGAAGAAGGACTCCTTGTATGAATCTGGTTATTTACCTAAACTGTCTTATTTAACATTCAAAGCTGTCCTTCGAGGTGGGTGCTGGGATCAAATCCCAGAGGCGGGACTCCAGAAGTTGGCATTGCCCTCTGAAATTCCTTCCTGCCTTGAAGCGTCAAGGTGATGAGAGGGTGGGTGTCCTGGGGCCAGATGCCTCGGGCTGGCTGCGCGTCCTGGGGTGGGTTACTTCTCCTCCCTGGGCTTCCTTTCCTCTAGTGTTGAGATCCAAGCAGACACCTGTGCACTGATAAATGCTGGCTTTTGTTTCTGTCGTCGTCATCACCTCTGCCTGACCTCTGGGAGAGGAGGCAGGGCCAGTGGGGAGAACTTCCAGGTCTCCCAGGTCTCCCAGAATGGAGCTGAGATCCAGCCCATTTGGGATTCGAGTGAAGGGAGTGAGGCACGCACGGGTGTGCAGAATTTAAGAGACACCAAGAAACTCAGTCATCCAGATAAATTATATATATATATATATATATTTGGGGGGTGTAGGGGCAGGAAGAGAGGGAGAAAGAATCTTGAGCAGGAACCTGACACAGGGCTCGATCTCACAACCCTGAGATCATGACCTGAGCTGAAATCAATAATTGGATGCTTAACCAACTGAGCCACCCGGGTGCCCCAAGATAAATTATATTTTAAAGCAATATTTAAAAAATAAAATTAATGCCAAAACATCCACAAGGAACAAAATAACAGGTTAAGTAAAGACAGGTTCAGTAAGAGCATGACTGGGTTTTTTTAAATGCTGTGTTAAAAATATAATCTTCGTCTTGATGGCTTGAGTTTTCCGGCTCCCCCTTAAATTTTGCATGAGAGGCGAGTGCCTGATGCACCCACCATCCACGGGGGTGCCTGCTGAGACACCGCTGGCTTCAGGCCTGGGGTGTATTTGTCCTGGTTTGCCCCCAAAGTAGCCAAGAGAGGAGTGTGCTAAAGTCGTTTTCTACTAAAGGGGGAGTAAGGGACACAAGGCCAAGTCCCAGTCATGGAGAATTCTTTTTTTTGCAAGGTTTCTGAAACTCGGGAACAGTTGGTTGTCTTTTTACCAAGAAGTCCTGTGCTTCTGGAGAGCCAACGGCCCGTCGGGACCCATCCTGGCCGGTTTCCCAAGACAGCAGATGCTCACACTGAGGGACGGGTCTCCTCTGTCCTGCTGGAGGGACACGTGCTGACGGTCGCACTGCTGGTAGCTCCTCTTACCGTTGCCCGGTACTGGGAATAGTTATGGACGTGACAGCCCGACGCACCGGAGCCAGGATCGACCCCTGCTCTGCCTCCTTCGGGCTTTCTGATCTGGGGCAGGGGAGGCGGAGAGGGTGGGAGTTACTCTTATTTATACATTTAATCACCAACGTCCATTAAAGAAAGCAGGACCCGCCTTGCACCTGTCCTCGCCGGGTGTGCACTCTGGAGGCGAGGGGAATGCCTCCCTGCGCCTCAGTTTGCTTATCTGTGTAGTGGCGGAACCATGGGGTGCTCTAAGGAAAAACGGAGACAAGGAAAGTAAAGTTCCTCGCCCCAGGGCCAGGACTAGGATGTATAGCAAGCAAAGCACCGGAGGGCAAAATCCAGGGCTGGGGGAGGGGACGCTCATTTCCAAGCGCAGATTCTGCACTTGGAAAGAGGGAGTGGCTGCTTGCATTTTGTACCTGGGGGCCTCTCTGGCCCTGCCTGGCTCAGAGGGAGCCTTCAGATAATGCTACCCACTGCACGACTAGCTGGAAGATGCTTGGGGACACGAAGAGTAAGAGAGTAAGCTCTAAGCCTTCTAGGCACATCCACCATTTATACGCACATAACTTGAGCATTCCCATAGCAAGATATCAACTACCGAGTGTTCCTGAAACACCCGTTGTGATTCTGATAAGGGGACCTCTTCTCCTGGACCCACATGGTCCATTCTACGGCACAGGGCTTGGGGAGCACAGCGAAGGATGGATTTCAGTCCTCATGTGCCCCCTTGTGCAGGAGGCAACCTGTACCACCGTACGTTGGAGGCCCTCAGAGTGTCTACCGCTCCCAGCACTGTGCTGGGGAACACAAGGAGACGCAGGGTCATGGGACCTGGCAGAGCAGGTCTGGTCTCTTTACTCATTTGATCTTCCCTTTGGAGTCGGGGGGCAGAGAGCTTGCTCTGCTGGGTGCGCCAGATGACTCTGTTGGCAGGGCCCTCAACTGGGTGGTAGGGAGGACCCACAGCTTGCCTACATTCCATGGCGTTGATCTAAGGTGTTTCTGCTTACTTGGTGACTAATCCTGTCACCACTGTTTGAGAACCTCCCCTCCCCACTGGGCAGTCCTTTAGCTCCTTGCTGGAAGGCAGCTTTCAGAAATGCTTTCTCCCGGGCAGCATGTCCCGTGTTTAGGGTTGACTCTGTTCCCTGGAGGGGGGCTTATAGTTAACCTCTCACTGCAAGGAGGTGACCTAAACACCAACCACTTGTGTGAAAGAGGAGGGAGGAGTTCGAGGACCACTTCCGGGCTGACTAATTCTCCCAGGGAACACACCACAGAGCTAATGGGATCATAACATTCGTAAGAGAAATAAATAGTATTAGGAAGGACTAACGTTTTCTCAACTGACTACTGCCAAGCCCTTGTGCTAAATCTTTGCCCAAAGATTGCTGATGACCCTCCGGTTGCGTGTCCCTCCTCAAGTGTGCACTGACTGTAGATCAGACCACACTCCTTGACTGGGTGTGATTTTCATTTCTTATTGCACAGACAGCTACGCAATATTTTATATTCTATAGTGTATCACATTACATAGAAACATTTAATAAAATAAGAGTATAACTTAAACGGCAGAGGACACAGTAGAAGGTAAGAAGGAAAAAGTTAAGAGTTTGAGCTGCGGAAGCCGGCTGCCAAGGGTTAAAGCCTGAGTTACCAGTTACCAGCAGATAACCTGTATTCGTCAGCTCCTGCCGTTTTAACAAAAACGCCGTAGGCTTGGTGACTTAAACAACAGATATGTATTTTCTGACAGCTCTGGAGGCTGGAAGTCCATGATGAAGGTCGTGGCAGACTCTGATCCTGGTGGGGCCTCTTTTCCTGCCTCTCTCACTCTGCTGTCCTCTCGCTGCGGCCTCACATGGCGGAGAATGAGCAAGCTCTCTCGGGGTCCCCTCTTCCAAAGACGCTAATCCTCTGAGATCAGGGCCCCACCCCGCTAACCTCCTCTAACCTTACTGACTTCCTTAGGGACCGTGTCTCTGGACACAGCGGCAGTTAGGGCTCCACCATGCGAATCTGGAGGGAGAAGCAGGTCAGTCCATAGCACAATCTTAGGCAAGGAGCGTCAGCTTCCTGCAGCAGGTTTGGCATCTGTAGGATGGGAAGATATAAATGCGTGCCTCGTGGGGCTCTTGGGAGGACGTGATATACCCATATAAGACAGCACTCGGGGAAGGGTCCAGCATAGAGAGTGGATGCTGTGGAGATACGAGCTATTATGATTCTGAAGGCACAGCACATTTGATGTGGCCCCTATTATAATGGCTAATCGTCAGTCCTTCGCTGCTGTACATGAACCGCAGGACTAAACGCGGTGAGGACGAACCTGCTGCCATCTTTCCTCCACCCCTCACCCCTCACCCGTACAGAATGGGGGCCGAAGCTATGCCCACAGCTGGTGTGAGTCAGGACAGAGGGCTACTCTGTTTCACCACCAGGGACTAGACCCCCAGCAGCTCCTCAGAAACGTAGGTCACTAGGGAACACTGGGCCATAAGTGCAAGGAGAAAACTACCAAGTCCAGCCCCTAGAGCCAGATCCCACTACTTCCACGCTGGTCGCATTTGGGGGCAAGTCATTCTCTGCTGGGGGCTGTCCTGTGCCCTGCACGATGTTCAGCAGCGTCTCTGGTCTCTGCTCACTGGGCGCCAGCAGCAGCCCCCCGGCCCTGAGTTGTGACCCTCAGAAATGTCTCCTAGAGGGCAATACGGTCCTCACTTGGAAGAGTGGGGCTGGCTGGAGCCACGGTGCCCTGCACACCCATTCTCAGGGAAGGGCAGCTGGAGGCCCAGGTTCCCCGGCATTTGCAGGCTGACAGCACAAAGGACCCACAAAGATGGCCCTGGCAAGTTTGGGGGGCATTTCAGATGCCTAAGCTGATGATGATTATGGGGCCCGAAGGCAGAGGCCCTTCCTCCATCTGAGAATCCGTGTTCTGTGTGTCAGGTTAGGCAACATCTGGGGGAGATCCCTCGCCCAGGGGAAGCTTCCACACCCCGAAGTGTCCAAAACAGAGGCCCTGGCTGTCACAGAGATCACCTGGAGATCATGAAAACGTACTGGTGCCACGGGCTCCAGCCTGGAAAATCTGAGGGATTGGGTCCAGCTGGGGCCAGGGCACGGGGATTTAAGTCCCCCCCTGTGTCTCCTGCACCCACTGATTGTGGCCTCAAGGACACAGCGGAGGTGGAGAACTAAAAGAATTTTCTATCCCAACGACCTCTCGCAAAGACTGACCCCACGTTCTCAAAATGCTAAGGGCTCCAACATGAGTCCAATTTCAAAAACAAAATGCCCCACCATATGGCCTGGCTGGTGTTTAATGTCAGAATAGGTCATTAAAAACAAAACAACTCACACCATTGGTTCACTAAAGAAAGGGCATTACCTTCAAATGTGTTTTTGTTTTTTTCCGTTTTTGTTGGTTTTTTTGTTTTCCAACTAAAAACTGGTTCTTTCAAATGAATACAGCTTTCCTGATGGAAAAACTCCTGATCTGATTAATTTTTCACATTTTTTGGACACCGGAGAAAACCCCAGCCCAGAAAGGAGTTGTTGTCTGAACCACCTGAGCCTCAGTTTTGCTATCCATTAACTGGGGGTAAAGAGGCCTCACGTCCCAGAGTCCTTGAGCTGGGTTATAGGGAGCTCAGCTCATCCTACTTTCCCCTTGGTGGTGGGGGGGTGGGGGACGTGCTTTCCTGGTTTTTAGCATGAAAGTCCTGCACCCCTGAACACCTTCTTTCCCAGGACATCCTGGACAGACGCTCACCATTGTGGTACTCTCTGTATGTACCTGATTATGAGACTGCCCTGTGCCTTTACTAAAAATACAGATCCAGGGCTCCAACCCGACTTTTTGGTGAGAGAATGTTGAGAATCAGAGGTGGTGCCGGGTTCCTTAGCTGATTCCCACGATCAGAGAGCTTTGGGGGAAACTGCCTGCAAATACACTTGGATGTAATGGTGATAACTGTAATCATGGCTTCCGTGGGCGCGGCGCCCACTGTGAGCCACGCTCTCTTCCCCACACCTCGCACAGAATAACTCATTCAATTCTTGCAACAACCTCTTAAGGTTGGTCCTAGTGTCATCCCCATTTTTAGAATTTTTGTTTAAAGATTTTATTTATTTGAGAGAGAGAGAGAGAGAATGAATGTAAGTGGGGAGGAGGGGTAGAGGGAGAGGGAGAAGCAGACCCTCCACTTAGCAGGAAGCCTGATGCTGGGGGTCCATCCCAGAACCCTAAGATCATAACCTGAACTGAAGGCGGACACTTGACTGACTGAGCCACCCAGGTACCCCTGTTATCCCCATTTTACAGAAGAGGAAGCTGAGGCCCTTCGAGGCTCAGTAACTTGCCCTGGCTCACTCCCATCCTTATCCTATGTGCCACGTGGCTCTTTACCTAGAGTGTTCAGCACTGGGCTGGCACAGGGCTGGCTCTCCCGACACATCAGATGTGATTATCATGATTGTTTTATTAGCTGTACTATCTTTTTTTTTTTTCAAGATTTATTGATTGATTGATTTGACAGAGAGAGAGAGAGAGACAGTGAACAGAAGGAACACAAGCAGGGGGAGTGAGAGAGGGAGAAGCAGGCTCCCCACTGAGCAGAGAGCCCGATGCGGGTCTCGATCCCAGGACCCCGGATCATGACCTGAGCTGAAAGCAGAGGTTTAACCCACTGAGCCACCCAGGCGCCCCTAGCTGTACTATCTTTAGAGCAGGGGAGGACTTGCCCTGCTCGAGCCAGCTTTTAACAGAAGATGTAATTGCTAAATGTGAAATTGTTCCCCTTGCCCTCCCAAAAGTCTGACCTCGCCTTGGAGACTGACTGTATTCATTTCTGCTGATACTGACGACGGCCAATAGGTGGCAGGAACCTTTTGTGTTTGTCCCTGTAAATCCTCTTCTTTACAAAATCCTAAGGAAGAGCTGGAACAATTTCACAACACCTGTGTTGTGACTGTGGGTGGGAAGCAGTATTATCTGAACCCAGGTTCTCTCCCTGCAAAAGACGGCAAATGCAGGGTCCTTCTTTCCATCCACTTGGCCCTGAATTTGCGAAGAGCCTACTTCAAATGCTACTTCAAATGTGCAATTATCAGGAAAAGGGAGCCCTAGCTCCTTGGGAGGAAACATTCTCCAGCCTGCTCACATCATGACCTCAGACATTTTTTGAAAGTAGCCCCCAGATTGGACTGAATCTGCATTGAATAAGAAGAACTTGAAAAATCTGCAGACCCCTTGGTGACTCATTTGTAATTTTGTTAAAAGCTGGGCTCAGGTGGTGACATAATCTGTGTGTCTATCCTTGTGCGTGGCTTTGGTCAAGGCATCTCACCCACTGACCTCAGTTTCCTTGTCCATAAAATTGGAATAATGATACGACTGCCTTACTGATTTGCTGCAAGGAGTCAACAAGTTTATTATAAGTAAAGCCCTTTGAATAGCTGCTCAACACATGGTGATCACTCACCAATTTCGTTGTTGTTGTTCCTATTTTGTCACGCCTGTGGTTGTTAGAGGTGTCGTCTTAATTTTTATACACAGCGGGTTCAAATCCAGGTCAGTCTAACTACCGCCAACACTTTGTCTCTCAGCTCCATGAACCCCTTTCTTTGCAAACTAGGTATATATCACTCAGAGTGATCTCCAGCAGCGATTGATAAACATTCTGGAAAAGGCTAGATAGTGAATATCGTAGGCTTTATAGACCGTGTAATCTCTGCTGGAACTATGTAACTCCGCCTCTGTAGCGTGAAAGCAGCCCCTTGTTGACAAGATGCGAATGAGTGGGCGTGGCTGTCTCCGGATAGAATCCACGGATAGATATGGAAATTTGGAGTGCGTGTAAGCTTCCTGTGTCATAATCCGTGGTTCTTCCTCTGATTTTTTTCCAACCATTTATAAATGTACAGCCTGTTCTTAGCTCTCCGGCCACACTGAACTAGGCAGCGGGCTGGGTTTGGCCACCGCTGTTGCTCCTCCACCCCAGTCTTGAGGATTCAACGCGATGTGCACGATGCCCTGTTTATAGATGGAAGTGGTGGTCTCTTGTAACTACGCATGGCATGGATTTTGTAAGTAGGAAGCCATGCAAATTCACTAAAGTCCTGTATGTGTTAGCAGGTGCTCAGTTTTATTACCTGGTATGATGAGAAAACACATAACATCCCCAGATCCTGTTATCGATCAAATTCTCCCAAGAGAGCATTTCGTGAGACCTATGACCCTTTTTTGGCCTCTGAAGTATCTGATGACTCAGTGTGTCTGTTACCAGGGCATGAAACCTCATACCCTGTGGGCCAGAACTCCATGGGAGTCCTTAGAGATGCACAGGTGGCTTTCAACCAGAAATCAAAAGTGCTGGCTTCTATTCTGAAAGCTCCCAGAGCTGATGAGCCTGCCGCTCCCCAAACATACATTATTTGTGTGTAAAAAGAAACTTTTAGGTCTCAAGGCAGCAGGTCTCGGGGATGTCTGAAAGAGCCCTGCTTCTGAGACCAGGCATCCTCTGGGTCAAACCCTCACTCTGCATTTCCCGGATGTCTCTCTTGGGTGAGTTTTGGGAACCTAATTCCCTCCTCTCGAAAGGGAGGTAGTACTATGCAGAACATCCCAGGGGTCAGGAGCCCAAGCAGCCTGTTTGAATCTTGCCTCTGCCATCACTACGGGGATGACCTTTGGAAAGTGATTCGGCCTCAGCTTCCTCATATCTAGAACGAAGTGATGGCAACACCCGTTTCACAGGGGTGCTGTGGGGCTCAGTAAACCAACTCCGGGAGCGTGCTTGGGGACTCAGTGCTGGGACTGAGGACGTGCTACATAATTGTTGACTTTTATCATTATTATTAAAACAAGGCTCTCGAGAGGCTAAGTAATGATGTGGGCACATGCCTAGCTGGGGGTGTGGGGGGGTGGGGTAGGGTAAGCTATCAATGATTATCCCCTCCTCTCACCACTAACTGATAATTAGATCTGATAAATGGAAACACTGCATTGAGGACAGAAGAGACAACAGCAGGGAAAGAGACAGTCCCGGCCTCATGATGCTCACAGCGTATCGGGGAAGGGACACAGAAGCTAAATGTTCTGTTTTGCCCTCCCAGTCTGGACTCATTGTTCCTTCAACCCAGAACCATCCATCCTACCTACCTACCCATAGCCCGGCCCCTGTTATATCACGGATTTACTTAGGCTCATTGCATGAAATCCTATGTGTTTGGTTTAACAAGCACTTAATCTATCACTTATACCGAGCCAGACGTTGTTCTTACCACTTTCCTTATCACACTACCACAAGCATTCATCACTGAGTCGTGTAGCAGGCCTGTGAGGCACAGAGAGCCTCGTTAACTTGCGCAAAGACACACAGCAAGGAGAAGCAGAGGGAGGGGGTCAAGGCTAGGTTGTCTTGCTCAGATTCTGTGCTCCCAACCACTGTACCATGCTGAGCTGAACTATCAAAGTATCAAACTATTAAACTATCAAGCCGATGGACTTACTACCTACCCACCAGACTTTAGTACCTACCCACCAGGCTTTAGCTCTATATTTAATTATAAATATATCATTATAAGTACCTCTAATTGCTAGCTATGAAAAACAAAAGCAAACAAACCAAAAGCCAGTGCCATGAGGAGTTTTAACAAGGGGTCTTTAGTTTGACAATTAGAGAATACTAAAAATTATAAGTATTATTTTAATTATCTACATTCTAACATTTCTTTGATACGATAGCTGTGCTGGGCTAAAAGAGAAAAAAAAAATGTTATCTATACTGAATATGTTTTTCATGATGATAACGATTTCCTCCCAGCAGTTGAAAACTGGGGTTGCATTGGACTTAAACTCTACTGAATATAGGAGTCCCAAACCTTTTCTCATCCCCCAAAATAAATACGAACAATTGAGCTAACTTGGGCTTGCGGTGATAACACCCGCAGTAACCTGCCCGTTCACGACACTTAGCTTCATAGGCGGGAATAAGATTCTTGTTTTAATTCTTCCCTCTCTTTATCTCTTTTCTTCTCCATTGCAGGAACAATGGGTAACCAAATGAGTGTCCCGCAAAGAGCTGAAGACCAAGAGAACGAACTGGAGGCAGAAGCTAACAAGGTAGTATAGTTAGGGTCACGGGGTCATTCGCGACTGACCAGCAGCTAGATTCGGGGGTGACCGCAGAGTGAATGGCCTGTTCGGTGCTCATCACACAGACATTACTGACGACGTGCTGCTGTTCCCAGGGATTCCTCCATTGTAGTCAAAGCTCCGCATCCATCCAGGAGCTTGTTAAAGATGCAGGCTCCAAGGCCTCGCCTAAGACTTCCCGAATCCCAAATTACAAGGCTGGGAGTCTATGCAAACAGGGTCTTCAAGGACCTCCCAGGTTCATCGTATGGGGCCAGTTTGGGCCCTACAGCCAGGTGGTTCTCAGCTGTGGGTGATTTTGCCTACCCCCCTCCCATTCCCCCCTACTCCACCAGTGTCTGGAGACATTTTGGATTGTCACAGCTCAGGGCTCCTGATCTAGCGGGTAGAGTCCAGAGATGCTGCTAAGCAGTGCACAGGGCAGCCCCCAGAACAGGGGATGATCTGGCCCCCAGCGTCAGTGGTGCTGAGGATGGGAAACCCCAGGCTCGGGCCAGCAGCTCACAGCCTCGGCTCCACATGGGGATCCCTGGCCGGAGTAGCTCCGTAGACCAGTTAGACCAGAATGAGGGTGGCAGTGAGGGCAGGCAGCGGCGTCTTCAGTGCAGCGGGCAGGGGGCTCTACCGGCTTAGGAACGCTTCTTTTAGGAGACTGCGCTGGAGGGCTGAGGCCAGGGACACCCCAGCGCCGCTCCTTAGATCTCCTACCACCAAGTGGCCGAGAGCCTGCACTGCTGCAATCCATGCCACTGAACACTTGGAACCCCGTCCGTGATCATGGAAACCCCCGTAGGAGGTTTATAACCCCCTACGAACTAATATCGATCGTATCAACGGAGAATTCCTGCTCAGAATAGAAGGCTGGGTTTGAAGAAATGGGCTCAAAACTCCGGTGCCTGCAGAGTGGGTGTCAAGCCTGAGCGCTGAGTCCATCGTCTGGGAAGCTTTGCAGACAGACTCCCGCTGCCTGGTCCCACCTGACAGCAACTGAGACGCAGCCTGGAGGGTGGGGTGGCTTGGGCTTCAGCAGTCCCTCAAGCTCCCAAGTGACTCCTCATCTGGGAGCCTCTGGCCTCCGGGGGCTCTGCAGGGGGCAGTGACAGAAGGGAGGGAAGCGGGGGCAGTTACCTTCAGGGGACGGGAGACCAAGGGTCCGTGGGCAAATGGTGAGCTCTGGCGACAGAAACCAACCAGATGTTCCCAGTCCGGTTTGTAATTAGCAGTTGGAAAACAGGGTTCGTGAGCTCTCCTGCTTTTTAAACACCGGCAACTAATTCCCAAAGACTTGAAAATAAAAACTCTGGGAGCCAAAGAAATCAAATTGGCACACCCAGGATTGCCCCAAAGGGGATGCCGGTCATGAGCTCGGGACCAAACAGTCACACAGGTTGGAAGTTTCCTTGTCGTGATTTCTTGGGAGGGTTAACGATAGATGCAAGAACGCAGGCTTATTTTAAACCCTTAAGACCATTACAAAAACCTAAAAAAAAGAAAAGTCTTCTGTGTCCCTCCCACAAGGTTCCCACCTTCAGGAGTGCCATCAGACTGTGGTTTTCTCTCTGGGCATTTATTCAACGATACTACCCTACCGATGCTATTCGCAAAATACGATATGGTGTGCAGAGTACTTAGCACATAATCAATATCCAATTAGTGTCAGCTATTGGTGGTAACATTTAGATGGCCTTATTACTAAAATAGCATTATGTAACAGACATTCTCTCTGTGGAACATTTTCCTTTCTGTGTGAATATGTACATACGTACATACGCATATATATACGTATATAAGCTTCTTAAATTTCTGCAGCCAATGTCAAGAATAAAAATAATCAGGGCAGGAAACTGGAACAAAGGTTCCAACGGTGAGGAGGGAGGGAGAGGGTGTGGAGCAGAAGGAAAGCCACGGTGAACTTCCTGTATTTGACAAGTTTGTTGACTAAGGGCTGGGCTGAGGACGACACTGTGTTTTTGGGAGGGTGGCATGTGGTTAACCTCCCGGGACTCAGGGATCGGCGCGTCCAATTCTCTCTCCCCACTGATTAGATGAGCATCCCTGTCAGCTGGGCGTCTCACTGCGCAATGGGGTCCATCCTGCCTGTGTTCGTGGGGCTCCCTGAGATGAATGGTTTACTCAGTTCCCTGAGGCATGATGGGAAGCTGAGTAGTTTCCAGAAACATAGCCTTTAAGTTTAATTTGGTGATGCACCCTGTGGCCTTGAGGTTTTTCCTTGAGTTCTGATTTTCCCCAAACACCTGACTACGAATTGCCGCATATTCTGTTGCAGGGAGCGCCTGAGTGTGAGTGTGGTCAAAACGGGACGCCGGTGATGATATCGACCTGTGACATTCCATTCCATGGCGAAGGTCAGTGCCACGCTGGGGAAGTGGGCTGCTCCTCGGGGGGTGGGGAAGGGTCTGCCGATCCTGTGTATGGTGAAAAGAGAACGCAAGGCTTGAAGCCAAAGGCTCGCTTTGAAAACGTTAGTGTTAGTGTCCTGGGGCCACTGGGACAGTGTCACAAACAGGGCGACTTACACAGCAGAAATGTGTTGTCTCACAGTGCTGGAGGCCACAGGTCTTTTCTTTGGACTATATTCAGCTGTATTAAAAAGGAAAACCACAGACACAGAAATGAAGGTACAGACCATGAGCCAGCGGGGCAGTGGGTAGGTAGGAGAGAAAAGCACCTCCTGAGCTCTTCTGAGCATCGCAAGCAGGAACCTGTTCTCTGCCCCTGTCTGAGCTCCCGAGAGTCTCAGTTGTTCCGTGGTTTCCAGATGCTGTCCTCTCTGTGCACATCTGTTTGTGTGTCGCATGTCCTTTCTATAGGGACATAGTCATATTGGGTTGGTGTCCATCCTAACTGACCTCATCCTAACGTGGTCATTGGCAAAAACCCTGTTTCCAAACGAAGTCACAGGCACTGGGGGTTACAGTTCGACTCCGAGCAGCACCCATTGCTTCTGAGTATGCGTAACCGCTGGAAGAGGGCAAGATCTCCAGCAGATAAGACAAAAGCAAAAGAGTGAAACACTAAGAGCTTGGCATTTGGAGCTGGACAGACTGAGGTTAAAGTCCCTGCTCTGCGGGGCACCAGGGTGGCTCAGGCGGTTAAGCGTCTGCCTTCTGCTAAGGTCATGATCTCAGGGTCTGGGATGGAGCCACATGCCGGGCTCCGGGCTCACACAATTCCCGAGAGGATTAAAGGAGCCTGTCCATCAAACATCTACGTGTTACCCAGCACTTAGGAACTCTACAGAAACTGGTGAAGTAGACAAGGAAACAGAATCTTCCCTACACAAGGCCAGTTTTAAAATGGGATGATACACTTATCTATTTTGTTTTGTCCTGCATTAGAAGACTATAAATTCAGTGCATCAAAAGTGGCTGGGTTCTACTTTGCGGAGGACATGTATATAAACTTCTATAAGAAGAAGAAGTGGTCAGGGGTAACTCTGGAATCCACCTGCTGGCTTTCCACCTACCAGCTGTGTGTCCTTAAGCAAGTTACTTAAGCTCTCTGGACCTCATTCTCCTTGTCTGTAAAGTGGGATAGCAATAGTACCTACAACATAAGTATCAGATTTAATAAAACACCTATTTCAGTGCCTGCCATATAGTAAGTGCTCCATGTATCAGCTATCACTATTATTTTATGATTACGGTTGCTGTCATTTGCATGTAAGTTTCTGGGTTTCAGTTTCTTCTTCTGAGCAATGAGGAAATGAGTCCTATTATTGGTTCTAGAGGTTTTAGAACGCCCTAGCATTAGGGGAAAACTCCTTTCTTTATATTCTACTACACACACCACACTGGACACCAAATGTGTGGGCTTTCCATACCAAGCAATTCTGTGATGCTTCTGGGTGTCCTCCATCTCAATGGAGTTCTGACTCTGTCGACCTAAAGGTAACATCAGCCCCCACAGGCTGAAGCCTCAGTCCCTTAAGACTGCCTCCCGCTTTCACACGCAGTGGGTGCTCTGCTTACGTGCACAAATCAGAGATCCCCATGAGCCCCACTCAGGTTCTTTCATTTGCTGGAATGGCTCACAGACCTCGGGAGAACTGTTGACTTTCTAGATGACCAGTTCATTATAAAAGGATAAAACTCAGCCACAGCCAGAGGGAAGGGAGGCATAGGGCAAGGTAGGAGGGCTCCTGGGTTTGGGAGCGGGGGCGGGAGGGTTGATATGGAGCTTCCGTGGCCCACCCTCCCTGCAGCCAGCTCTCTGAACCCTGTACTGTAGGGATTTTTGTGCATGCTCTATTACACAGGCATGATTGATTAAGTCATTGGCCATCGGTGATGGAACTCAATATCCAGCCACTCTCCCCTCCCCAGAGATGGGGGATGGGGCTGAAAGTTCCAACCCTCTAATCACAAGCCTGGTTCCCCTGGCAACCTGGGCCCCCATCCTTAGGGGCTTTCCAAAGTCACCTCATTAACATAAACTCCGAGGTAGTTAAAAGGGGCTGGCTTGTTATGAATAACAAAAGACGTCTTCATGGCTCTTATCATTTATATGATAAGTTTTAGGCGGCCTGTGCCAGGAATGGGGACGAAGACCAAATAGGTATTTCTTTTCTATATCACAGTATCATTCCTGAGGAGTTTATTAAAAGCTTAGAATGCAGGGCCCCTCCCATAGGTTCTATCTACAATAAGCTAAGGTGGGGAGCCTTCTGGAGGATTCTGACACACCGCCAGGACTGGCAGTCACTGGATGAGAAAAGGCCCCAAGTTTTCCTTCCTTTAAACCCTGTGGGTCAAACTTATACTTTGATGTACACCAAATGTATGTATTTACAGCAACAGCCTTTGATGATGGGGTAAAAGCTGGCCATTGAGATGCACAGGCTTTGAAATGAGAATCATACCATTTATATAATTTACAAACTGTAGATGTTTGTTCTCAGGAAATTGAGAGGCATTGAGAATATAATACGCCTCTTTCTCTATCATAGAGAAACCTCTTTCTCTATCATAATTATACGATCATTCCCCTATTTGTAGTATAGGGCACAAAGGCAAGGAGTGTGTAGGAAGAACAAAAGAACGTAGGGTTGGGAATTGAGAAAGGCCCTTCCTTTCTCCCTCCCTTGGTCCCTCTCTCCTTCCTTTTCTATTTTTTTCCCTCCTTTCTTCCCCAACATCTACATATATATCTATATAAATACACACACACACACACACACACACACACACACACACATACAATTAATAAATTATATATATATGGAAGGAATTCCTAAAAGGAGAAAAACAGGTTACAGAAATACAGGACGACAGTCTGGAATAGCATATTGCTGTTTGAATACTGACGCATGACAAGGGAAACAGAGAATCGCATTTTGGTGAGTCATAGGTTCCTTGCATTTAGCTCTAGTCCCCCACAGCTTTGCTTTCAACTTATCTGGCACCCGCTGGAGAATATGTAAAGAGTTTAGATTAATCCTCTGAGGTCAGAATTCTGCCTGTCATTCACTGACAACTTGAGTCCTCTGCAACTTGCTTCGGAGTGATTATCCCATTTAATGAGGAAAGCAGCCTATTATTACCATCTTGCTGTTTTTTTCCCCAGATTATTAACTAAGTTATAATATCCAATGCAGTTTTTAAGGGGGTATAAAAGTAGGATTCTGGGGGTTTTTTGATTCTTTTGGCAGAAGTCTCTGTGTTCGTCTCTGGTGGGGTGTACATATACGTATGCCCATAGAGAAAAGTCACAAGAGAAAGAGATAAGTGGGATTCTGGGTGACTGTGTTCCTTCTTTTTATCTATATTTTCCCTATGACGATTCAACAGTTCATCACCCTGCAGGAACGTTTCCTGGGAGGGCTTATTAAGAAGCAGGGATGGCAGTAGGAAGGAAGGGTAAAAAGCCAGGATGCGGGACTCGAACTATGGCTCTGTCCTGTGAGCTTCTGGAAATTTCTGGGCCTCTGTCCTTTCATTTGCAAAATGGGAACAATATTCATTCCTGGTAGAACCAAGCTTCTAAGATCATCATGAGGCTGAAATGAGTTGATACATGTGGAATACTTAGAAGAGTGCCTGGCAGGTGGTAAACACATGGAGAAAGTTACTTGTGCTGGCTTGGATTTAATGTTGATGCTCATAAAGACTGTCACTACAGTTTGACGTTCACTGGATTATCTCTAGCATAGTTTTTATCTCCGGGTGGGTCCAATGTGCTCTCAAGGGACCTTCTAAGGGGGAACCTGGGGGAAAAGAGAGGGATAGAAGCAGACATCACAGAAGGAGAAACAGATGAGAAGATTTTGCAATGCTGGCCTTGACAGGAAGGAAGGGACCCTGAGCCAAGGAACGCAGGGGTCCCCTCCAAGCTGTAAAGAGCAAGGGAGAGATGTTCCTCTAGAGTTTCCAGAAGCTGATGCATTTTCGATGTCTGACCTTCAGAACTGTAGGATAATATATTTGTGTAATTCTGAGTCACCACAATTGGGGCGATTTGTTCTAACAGCAATAGAAAACCATGTGAGTGCACTCATACTTTGGAATCTAACGGACCTGGGCTGAGGTCCCAGCTCTGCTACCTACCAGCTGTGGAACCTTGGCAAAGAATCTGTGTTCTCAGAGAGTCATCTATAAAATGGGAGTAATAATAATATTAGCTTTGGTGGGAGGTGCAGAACAGTGGCTGGCACAGGGTAAATGGGTTGAAATACAGGAGACAAGCAAACTAGATGTAGAGCCTGATGAGCTGCCTGTCCTTTATCTCTGGCTTTCCCTGTCATGTCCTCCGACGATCTGAGACTTTCCCACTTGTTTATTTATGCCTAGAACCTCACTGATCTTTGGAAAAATAAAAATGCCTCATTTTCTCCTTCTTTGACTCCTTTCTATCAAATCTATGACATTAGTTCTCACTCTAAAAAAACAAAAACAAAAACAAAACCACTGTTCAGTCCTTAATGCTATTGGATGGCAGAGACTAACGCAGGCGACCAGAACACAGCATTTTCCAGAAACAGGAGACTGTCTCTGCTTCACCTGGATACAAAGTTTCTAAAATATAAACAGCTCAGGGGCGCCTGGGTGGCTCAGTGGGTTAAAGCCTCTGCTTTCGGCTCAGGTCATGGTCCCAGGGTCCTGGGATGGAGCCCCGCATAGGGCTCTCTGCTGGGCAGGGAGCCTGCTTCCCCCTCTCCTGCCTGCCTCTCTGCCTACTTGTGATCTCTCTCTCTGTCAAATAAATAAATAAAATCCTAAAAAAAAATACATATATATATACACACACACGTATATATGTGTATGTGTGTGTGTGTATATATATATACATATATGTGTGTGTATATATATATATATATATATATATATATATATAAAATATATGGCTT